ATATCTAGACCGAGTGTTGAGGAGTGGGGGCCAAGGTGCACGTAGAAAAAGACATACTCTGTTCCGTGCCTCTTGCGTTCTGTCTCACTCGCATGTAGCATAGCGAAAGAGTGCGCTATCCTACGGTCTCATTATTCTGTACATAAAAGTATTACGGTAAGATTATCGAAAACTAAATATTTTACGAGATATTTTATTTTTTATATTAAAATATGTCAGATTAAAATATAAAATAACTCAAAAAGTACTCAATGAAAAAATACTTTATTATAGTGTTTTGAAAAGCTCTCGAGATAAGCTACAAGAATGTGCAATAAAAAATGGGGGTTTTCATTTAAAACTTTTAAGTTACCCCCTCCCCCTTTAAAGGGGAAGCGGAGGCAATTTTATGTTTACGTAGTTAGAAAGGCCCTTCGAAAATATAAAACTTTTTCATAAACAATTTTTTGATTTGACAAATATTTTTAGAGTTATTAGCGGGGACACTGTCCCACGATTACATTAAGTGATTACCTCCTCAGGTTACCCCCTCGGTGGTAACGCTGTGGATTGGATGATGGAATCCCAAAGAAACTTTTGGACAATTGTAGTGGAAGACTTGAGGAAGCGATATGTGGCTTAAAAACTTTCATAGTATGTGTTTATTGTGAATCAACGAGTATTAGAAATGATCTCTGCAGACGCCTCAGGTACTGTGACGCATGAAGATCGTACATATATCACCTCGAACTTCACGCAAAGTACTGTGAATCTCTGTTGGATTTTTGGCCACGTAAAGTGGCTAATCTTGATGTACGATCATGGTCTTCACGCGTCACAGATCGTTTAAAAAATATTTATTAAAAATTATAGAAAAATATTCTCTCTGTCCCCCCCTCCCCCCTCTCTCTCTCTCCTCTCCCTCTTTCTGCAAATTACTCGTTTTATTTTGTTTCTTGCAATTGATTTCAGGGAGTATTCACGATCAAACGTTTTTATCATAAATTTTAGGAAAAAAATTAAAATTAGAATTTAAATTAAAAGAAAATAGTTATCTTTTACGAAGACGTTAAAAACCATATTATTTTGTGATACTTTATTTCTTTTTATAATCCGGATTTATTTATATATAACACTTTACATGGGCCACCCTGTGTATGTATATATATATATATACATCATGATAAAATCAAAAGAGATAATATGAGCAATATTATAGATTTGTATTTAAAATATGTATGCGACACAAACAGATATCTGTGTAAAGTTGTTGCTTCTACGTGACGATAGAACAGAAATAGAGTAGAAATCCAACATATTTTCTGTCACATATTTAACACAATGCGAAAAGCTTGTATTTTATTGCTCTTTCCAAAGTATGCACATATCAGCCAAAACATCCTTAAGACTCGTTACATTAAAAGAAAAGATTTAATGTTATAGCTGGTACTATGAAACGGCTGGAGAAGCGTTTTAGCTTTCCGTAGAAATATGATATATGAAAGATTAGTGTCGTTGAAAGCTGGCGTCTTAAAAAATGTGCCATCAAAATAAATTATAAGGCGCTAATTTCAATAAATGATATTTAATCGATGCATTAGCGAATCGTTCTATTTATACATAATGCATTATCAAATTGGAGAATTCGAGCGATTTATTCTTTAAAGAGTCTCACTCGGAAATGCATGAAAGAATATAGGTGAACGTTTAAAAATGTATTTAGAAGCCTAGTAAAAAACATTTCAGTATACAAAATTTTGCAGACAGTAATCTTTTTTACTAGGCTTCTAAACATGTTTCTAAATGTTCACTTATATTCTTTCATGCATTTTCGAGTGGAGAGGTATCTTATTTTGCACGTACACATTGCACAACTTTTATATTAAATAAGTATATATTCCAAGTCAGCCACGTCTGTTCTAACAGATATTGCCAAGTGCTTGCTACAAATTATTGTCAGCAAAAAGGCT